AATATTTTATAACAATGGCTGATACACATCTGCAAAACAATGTGTCCGTTCCTCCAAAAATAATAACCCATGCTTTTTTTTTTTTTTGGTTAAAATTCCTTTTTTTTCGTTCACATTTTATCATCCTTTAAAAAAAGTAAAATAAAAATAATGTAACTTAAATCTAAGCAAAATTTAAATTAAATTTTACATGTTTCTTAAATGTACTTCCTTTGATCGTTAGGGTCACCAAAGGGGAAGTCGGTAACACCTGCTGCCTCAAGTGTCAAACTTTTTTTGACACTTTTAATAAATAAACAATTTAAACTTGTAGCCCATCCCTCTCCCCAATGCACATACCCCATCCCTTGTTATTTTGTCATAATTAACTCCCCTACCCAGTCTCTGCAACACGATCACAAGGGGGGGGGGGGGGTTGCGGGTTGTCCTTGGAGAACAGGTGCGCGACAAGAATGACACTCGAAATTAACAGCTGTTGTGCGCTGCCGTCTAGACTAAGTTAGACCAGCGGTCCCCAAACTGTGGCCCGTGGAGACCTTTTTGTCTACAGAAAAAAATTACGGCAATTTACGTATCAGAAGCATCTTACGTAGACATTATGTTTTTACCGAATTAAAATAGAGGCGCGCCGTAGTACGTTGTTTTCTAACCGATCATTACGAGGCAAAACCTTATTCACTACTTAGTTTTTCTACTTCCGCTCACAGTCAGTGAGATGATATAATACAATCTAATGGCGGAGCTTTGCCCGCCGTGTTGCAGACATGGGTGAAAACATTGTGACTCAAATAGCGAAAAAATGCAAGCAAATTTCGCCAATTTTTAATTGCAATGGATGAATCGCTGGACAGCTGTTCCACCCCTCAACTGCTTGTGTTCGTTAGAGGTGTGGATGAAGACATGAACATAACACAAGAGCTGGCTTCCCTACATTGCGTGTACGGCACTGTTACCGGAGAGGATATATTCAATGAGTTGAAAAAAACATTTGCTGATTATAACTTGGACTGGACTTACCTCAGTTGCCTGATTGTTGACTGAGGAAATAACATGAGTGGCATAAAGAAAGGCTTGGTTGGACAAGTGAAGCAGATGTGTAATGAGAAAAAAAATCTGCAACCAATTTCCCTGCAATGTATTATTCAACAGAAAGCTTTGTGTACTAAATACGTGGAAATTAACAGCGTACTGAATCCTATGGTAAATTGTGTTACTTTAATAAGTACACATGAGCTCAACTATAGACAGTTCAGAGACCTGTTGAAAGATACAGACACAGACTCGCAAGATTTACCATGTTATACAACAATAAGATGACTAAGTTATGAGAAAGTTCTGAGCAGAGTATTTAAGTTACGAAAGGAAATAGGTGACTTTCTGGAAAGTAAAGGCAAGCCACAGCCATTAGTGTCTGATGAAAAGTGGGTATGGAAATTGGTCTTTGCTGCAGAAATAACTAGATCTAGTCATTTAAATTTTCTGAACCTAAGACTACAAGGAGAGGAAAATCTAGTTTTTTATCTATACACCCGCCTTCATATCCAATTTCGTTTTGTTTTCTTGGAACTAGTACAGGCCAACAACTTGACGCACTTTCAGCAGTGGACGGTCCACATGGTTAAAGCAACAGCGGAGTTCCCCACGTCATTTATTTGTTGGCGAGATCATCAAAGACCACAAGCTGCAGTTTCAGCAGCGGTTTAATAGTTAATGCGGCCCTCGGGCTGAAAAGTTTGGAGACCCCTGTCTTAGACGATCGTCTGTGAGTTTGATACGGCCCCCCCCCCTTTTTTTTTTTTTTTGCTCTAGGGCAGCGGTTCTCAACCTGTGGATCGCGACCCCTTTGGGGGGTCGCACGACCCTTTCACAGGGGTCGCCTAAGATCATCGGAAAACACATACACTCAACAGTTATATAGTATCAACGAACATAATTTTGTGGTTGGGGGTCGCCACAACATGAGGAACTGTATTAAAGGGTCGCGGCATCAGATAGGTTTAGAACCACTGCTCTAGGGTGACCAAATCATGATTTGGAAAAAACAGGACGCTTTCAAGGACGTTTTGTTGTTGTTTTGTTTTTTTCTGCGGGGAGGGGGGGGAGGGGGGATACCCTCCAGCTAAAGAGGGGTCCGGGGGCCTCCACCGGAAACTCTTTATTGAAATATGCTCATTTTAACTATGGAATCTAACCTCGAAATCTACTTGGGGCAATCAGTCCTTTCCTATATTTCACTGATGTGATGTGTTGTTTTATATCTGAACGTCCACCATGACCAATACTAAAAACATCATTGCAAACTGTGCACGCGGCTTCACTTTCATAGCGTCCCTTTTTTATATAGTTCCAACTTTAGGAATACTCCGCCATAAACTTACATTGACGTTGGGCATAATTATTGTTCTAATGAGACGATAATATAAAATTAAAGAATAAAGTTCAACACCTAAAACAAACACCTGTCACACTGACACGAACAGGCCGGCAGGGACCACACATAATAGTAACACATTACACGTAGACGTAGCTTTAGTGGAATCAAAATTGTTCTGCATAGCTACATGCTCCCCCCCCCCCTTCCCTTTGCGACTTCAAGTCTCGTGTCTTTCGCCATACATTTACATATAAGATCTAGCGGCAGGGACTCTGGTGAAAGTGTGGGGGGGGGGGGGGGGGGACGACGACCGTGCAGCCATCACGCGAACCCACGTCCCCACTGGCACTGGCTACACATCCCTTTGCGACTTCAAGTCTCGTGTCTTTCGCCATACATTTACATATAAGATCTAGCGGCAGGGACTCTGGTGAAAGTGTGGGGGGGGGGGTGGGGGGGACGACGACAGTGCAGCCATCACGCGAACCCACGTCACTACTGGCACTGGCTACACAGCCAGCCAAAATATTATTTGAAGTTATATTATAAATTAGGAAGTTTTAGTGATTAGAAAATGTGTTTGGTTAAAAAAAAGGGACATTTAGGCGTCCCGAGAGACTTTTTCGGGACAATGGGTAAGATCGTGAAAAAACGGGACAATCACTGGTGACGTTTGGTCACCCAACCCTACCTCCAACCACAGCTATTGATCGATTTGCTCACTAAATAAGATTTTTGTTGGATATATGATTTTTGGGTCTTTAATGTTTTTACAAATAAAATTACGCTGTGATTTTAATAACAAAAGTATGACAAATATAAAAAAAAAGCAATTATTTTAAAAAATCTTTTGGTGTACGATTCTATAAAATTGCTGATTCTAATAAGTATTGATACAGCTGCAAACATTGTTTCAACCCACAACACCAGCAAGCACTTCAAACAGCTAATTAAAACAAAAGAAGGCAGTTAATGGAATGCACTTCTTTTCTTATATTTTCTATATTACAATAAAGGGGTGTATTCAATGGGCTCACAGGTGATACCAGATAAGAAAACCTCGTTACACAAACGTATATAGAAGCCTAATTACTTTGAATGAACAATTTTTTTTATGTATGGATTCGACGTGGGTCCAAATATTTCCCTTCCCTGTCCTAAATACACCAGTGTTTGCCCGTCCTAAATACACCAATGTTTCCCTGTCCTAAATACACCAATGTTTGCCTGTCCTAAATACACCAGCGTTTCCCTGTCCTAAATACACCAGTGTTTCCCTGTCCTAAATACACCAGTGTTTACCTGTCCTAAATACTCCAGTGTTTACCTGTCCTGAATACACCAGTGTTTCCCTGTCCTGAATACACCAGCGTTTCCCTGTCCTGAATACACCAGCGTTTCCCTGTCCTGAATACACCAGCGTTTCCCTGTCCTGAATACACCAGCGTTTCCCTGTCCTGAATACACCAGCGTTTCCCTGTCCTAAATACACCAGTGTTTGCCTTTCCTAAATACACCAGTGTTTCCCTGTCCTAAATACACCAGTGTTTCCCTGTCCTGATACACGTGTCTCCCAAACAATGTTTCGTTCTGGTAAGGTCAAGAAATTCAATGTTTCAGGATTAAACTTACACAAAGTAAAATTTGTTTGCTATACAATGAATGACAAACAATAATTTTGATTAACTTTTTAAAAAATCAGCTGTCTAATCCTCTTTATATATATAGAGAGAGAAACAGTAAGGACATTTGTTCATTACGTAAAGCTGGGCTCGGTTAAATTATTGTTTCCCCCAACGATTTTCGAATCAAAGTCTTCAATGTGGAAGATCGTGCATTATATGCTGCCATTTCTTTTCTGTGTGATTCTTATCTACAATTTGTAAAAACAAAATTATGACAGGCTAAATTCACTACCAATTTGATCCCATCAGTATTCGTGTTAAAGTTTGATTTACTGAAACATCTAATATCGGTCAATGTAATTTAGAGTGGGTTGTTTGTTTTGTTGAGAGAAATGGCTTTTGTGATTCTTGGATATCAAGCACGGGTCAGTAATGGTGCGGGATAAGTCATATGGGGGCGGGGGAAAGAAATCATGAAGTGAGTATTGCTAGTGCATTCAGAAATCTTAAAGTTTAAAGAATTTAATCTTTGTTAACTGGTCGCAGTTTAATAATAGCAATCAACTTTTGATTCACATTATTACACCAACAATGTTACAAACATTCACAAGGTATTTTGTAATCTACATCAACAAATGGGGGGGGGGGGTATTGTTCTCTTAAACCCTTAAAAAAACTGGATACATAATGAAGTGACCAGCTGACGTCAGCCAAGTGGTAGCGCCCCTCCCCCCAACCGGTCAAGTTATTTAAAGTAATCTTGACAAAGCCGTGTTTCATAGAATATTCCCCACGCTAATCTCTCGGATGGGGATCATTTCAATTGTATGTGCATAGCAGATCTGTTTACTATGGCGTACAATGTACGATTTTAAGGTGTAGACATGTTTATACTGTAGGTTTATTATTTTGCAATTAAGATGTTTTAAACCATAATGTGATGATATTGTACGATTTGAAGAGTTTGAGAGTAAACAGGTCTGTTTTATTATTTTGCTTTTTATTTTCTTTGAAATAAATTGAGAATTGTACAAGCAAGAAAATTATCACTTGAGGAGTAATAAAATCTTTTAATTGAACTGACAACATTCAATCCAAAACTCATATATATAACATGGCTAACTTAAAATGTACAACTTATTTTGGTCATTAAAAAAAATATTTTAAAAAAGTATCCAATTTACACGTTAGCAAGTGGTAGCCAATATTTTTTTAAAATACAAATATTATCTTGAAGGAATCCCCTCCCCAAAAAAATGTTTGCACTTGTCATTGCTGTTTGTGACATGCACTTAGCAATAGTGAACCCCTGTTTGCTGAGTTATTTAAAAAAAAATCAAATATGACAATGTGCAGCTAAGGATTTGGAAATCTTTCAGCTTACAAAAATATGATAAAGTTTTTTTTTTAAAACTCTAAATAAAGAAATGATTGTCCCTGCAGCACACTGTAAATTAGGGACTTTCCATTCGTGTGGCTCCCCAGGACTTAAAAAGTTGTTTTACATGTTGAAGATTCTTGGACAGAGATGACCCATGTGGTGAATGTTGGCATGTATGATGGAGTTGACCACAAACATATGAGAAGCATCACAAGCTGAAACATAAAAAAATGAGTTTTTATAGAAATAATATTTTCATAAATAAATACTAATTGTGCAGGATAGCAACTATCAAAACCTTCAAAAAAAAAACACTGAAGAATGGAGATAATTTTTTAATTTAAAGCTACGGTATTTAAACATAGAAGATGAAGTAAATATCTAATTTTTTAAAATATCTCTGAAAGATGTAACTTTTTTTTTTAAAGCTACGGTATTTAAACATGGAAGATGAAGTAAATATCTAATTTTTTAAAATATCTCTGAAAGATGTAACTTTTTTTTTTAAAGCTACGGTATTTAAACATAGAAGATGAAGTAAATATCTAATTTTTTAAAATATCTCTGAAAGATGTAACTTTTTTTTTTAAAGCTACGGTATTTAAACATAGAAGATGAAGTAAATATCTCATTTTTTAAAATATCTCTGAAAGATGTAACTTTTTTTTTTTTTAAAGCAGGACATTTAATAAAGATATTCTAACTCACTTCTGCTTTTCACTTCTTTTTCAAATTCTGAGGGAGGATTATCCTGGAAATAACACAAAACAGCTCCTTATTTTTTAAACAAGCAAAATGAAAGTACTTCTAAATATAGAAAATACCAACAAAAAAAGCTTTCAAATTAAATAATACAAAAAAATTTTCAAATTCAAGAAAATTAACACAAAACTTTTTGGTACAAAGTTTATTGAGTACAAATAACTTACCTTGATGTATCTCCACAAGCCAAGCAAAAGGAGATAACCTTCATAAGGTGAAACAAAAGGGAACAACTCAGATACATTGGACAAAGGCGGGGGAACCAGAGAACCCTGAAAAAACCCACAAAAAAAACATGGTTTAATTAATAATGAACTCTCAAGATGCTGGAATGTCATTTACAAAAATGTAGCATTTACTAGGTCTTTAAAATTAAAATTCTAGAGTTGATCTAAACAAGGTATTGTTATAAATATGGTAAAAATAGACCGACCTGAGTCAGACAGTAGACAAGTTTGACTGCACCCTCAAACTGTTTGGGGCAGTTTTTCATAAACGTCTCCCTGGAGACCTCCAGGTGATTCATAATCACAGCCATCAACGACCTCAGAACAGGACTCAGGTAAAACAAGAAAACACAACCTTTTAAAAGATAATGATACAAATTAAACAACACCAACAACAACAAAAATTTCATATAAATCCTTTGAAAAATGTAATATTGAGCAATGGGGGTGGGGCTGAAAATTGGACAAAACATGCATAAAAGGAACCCACTTTATAAGAATCCCAATTAGTGCTTCCCCTCCCAAGGCTAGAAAATGCACTTTTTTTTTTCTTCCCCTGAACTATATTAAAATATTCTAAAAACCCGCCCGTTTTTACACTGCAGATTTATTTGACCAAGTATTTCAGAAAAGCAAAACAAATTATTACGCACCAAACGCACTTGCCATACATTTTCTTAAGAATCTTATTTAGCCCGTGATCGGGAATTTTCCTTCATGTTCCCCTTGTAAAACAGAAAAAACAGATTTTTTTTTGGGGGGGGCTGAAAGTTTGATACAATCTGCAATGAGTCTATATCCCACGTTTCAGCTTTATAGCTTGACGGGGAAGTCGGTCAATTAGCCGTCATATTTGCCACCCACTCAGCCACAAACAAAAGCGAAGTCAATATAAAGGACTTAACAACTATATAAGTAATGTTTAAATTTATTAACTGCAATTTTATGCTTACAAATTAATAATTAATTGACTAGCTGCAGTGCAATACACCCTTGTGAAAAGGAATGTCTCATACAGAATTAAATCTACTCACTTGAGCTAAATTCTTGAATTATATTCCAGAGTAAAGGCAGTTCTTCCAGTCTTTTCCACACAAGTGTGTCCCTGTAAATAGGAAACAGTAAAAATAAAAACAGTATTAGGTCATATTCCCATTGTTGTAGGAGATGTTTGAATGCAGTCATATCTTGTCCATTCAATTCATGTTTTTCAGGATTTGTGGGTGCACGCATTCACACAATTTTTATTGGAAACTAATTTGCATTACTGTTTTTTCTGCAAAATTTGCCAAATCCTCAAAAAAAAAAAAGTTTAATTTTTTAAGTAATTTATGAGTTTTCATGCTATTAAGTGCTAAAACAATAAGAAATTTAAAAAAAATGGAAATTCTATTAGCTTTAGGGGGGAAAGTTAAAGACATAAAAATAAAAGAAATAAGTTTAGAAATTCCTTCTTAAAAACTTCGCTTTCTTATAGATACATTCATTTTTATGTAAAGTACTGCACTGATGCGATACCCATTTGGCAAAGGTTATTCCCTTTGTAACACTAATGGTTACATAATTATTAGAAAATACTGTAGTTGATTTACTATTTTGTAATACTAAATGTTAAGGTAAATTCAATGTAAAAATGATCAATTTTCTGCTCGTCTTCATAGACAATGGATATCAGGTGAAGGCTATGTCGTAGGCTCCATAATAACACATTATCGAGTAGCCAATCACACGGCAAGCTATCAGCTTTCCTTGTTGCTGACTGGCTTTAGCTCGGATGCTTTGTGTACTATAGTGTGAGTGAATCCCAGGTCCATCCTTCCCCATTAGTATACCATACTGTAAATTAGCTAGTGTGGCAAATAGTCATTACACTATTACACTGTACACTATTTTTAAGTGAACCAATTTTTTTGTTTTACGTCAACCATTTTTCCAAGGGTAATGTATTAAACTAACTTTTAAAGGAATTAAAGTGCTTTGAGAGCATGAATTGGGTCATATTTAGGGGTTAAACTCTATAAAGAAGCATTTATTAGCATTTTTAGTGACCCGTACCAAATATTCAGGATTCCCCCTGATCAGTGATGGGTTCTGGAACCTAACCTCGCGAATGTACAAGGTATTACTGTATATGCGTTTAAGAGGTTCACTTCTTTGAATGTGTTTGTGTGCTTTTCAATTATTTTAATACTAAAAATATTAGGAGAACATTTCCCCAGTTTGCAACTTTTACACAAGATAAACAATACCTTTCTGTGGTAACTTTGCGGAAGTCGGGGTCCTGCCAATGTATGTCATTGTACAATGAGTCCAAGGTCAGTATCTCCACGATAACACAGCCCAGTGTGCGGGCTGAACTCTCACTAATGTACTGTTTCAATGATGCACTCTAAATGCAGTTTTAAAAGCATTCTGTCATTATCTTTGGCAATCTTAATGTTATTCAACTTTATTTTATAAAATTAATTTACTTAATTCCCTATCCATATATAAAAGTTACCAAATATTTTTTTTGTACAAAGTCAGTGAAAAAAATCTTTTGAATAAAATGTGTTGATTCTGTTCAAGCACAATACTACAAGCAGCATGTATGTTCAAAAGCTGTGTAAATACACATACAGAATGTACAGAAGTTTCATTTATTACACACACACACAAAGCTTGAAGATTTTTTTGTAACATGGTTAAGATGAGTATCTATATAATTCGCCAGCGAAGGTCAAACACCACCACGCAGGCTATATATAGATACGCCAGAGTGTGGTTAAATAATGAGTTCACTAGCGCGCAAAATATAAAAAAAATATTCGGTTTAAAAGTGGTTGGGACATGAGAATATTAATATAGTTGATGGGCCTGAAATAAAAAGTGTGCAGTGACCTATCATGAAAAAAAAAAAGGGGGGGGAAGGGGTGTAGCTAAATTGGCTTTCTTAAATTGTGCGTAACTTGAGTTCACATTTTTGACAAGTAACTTTAGTAGATGGGAAGTTCACGCATTGCTGTCGCCAATGTTTGGCGGGCTCTATCTAGTTACTAATATTTGTTCATTAGTTGATAAGTGGCGACTAAGATTTTCCTAACCAAACAGTAATTTTAAAATAATAAATAATCTTTTTTTACCATGTAATTTTTCTTAATTACTTATAGTTTCTATCACATGATGCTGACCCAGAGCTGAGAGGAAGAGGGGGGGGGGACTGGACGGCACAGCACGATACACAAGATATATGCTGCTTTCATTGCTGTGCCTCCCCCCCCCCCCAATTTTAAAATAAAAAATAATCTTTTTTTACCATGTAATTTTTCTTAATTACTTATAGTTTCTATCCCATGAGGCTGACCCAGGGCGGGGAGGAAGGGGGGGGGGGGACTGGACGGCACAGCACGATACACAAGATATATGCTGCTTTCATTGCTGTGCCTCCCCCCCCCCCCAATCACCACCACTGACACATCCAAAGTGACCAATAAGTGAATTTAACCAGAAGCAAAACTTGCACTTCCACTGATAGCACCTACATTGAGTGAACACATCTGAAAGTGGGTGTAGGCGATAGCAATGAAAAATACTGAGAGTTTACACCTACATTGAGTGAACACATCTGAAAGTGGGTGTAGGAGATAGCAATGAAACATACTGAGAGTTTACACCTACATTGAGTGAACACATCTGAAAGTGGGTGTAGGAGATAGCAATGAAACATACTGAGAGTTTACACCTACATTGAGTGAACAAATCTGAAGTGGGTGTAGGAGATCGCTATGCAACGTACCGAGGGTTTCAGCTGGTTGGTCTCCATGGGCACTTCACTGCCAGGTTCAAGGGGAGAAAATTCTGTTAGGTTTGATGGGTTCAACTCTCGGCAGCACAGCCATAACGTCTCCGTCAATGTCAGACAGTTACTGGACACCTGAATCTGTAAAGTTAAATAGCATATGTCAGACAATTACCGGACACATGATTCTGTAAAGGGATGATTGGGCAGCTGAGCCTTTACTTACTTTAGGATAAGATTTATTCAGCAGCTGTCTTGACATACTTTAGAATAAGACTTATTAGGCAGCTGTGGCTTGACTTACTTTAGAATAAGACTTATTGGGCAGCTGTGGCTTGACTTACTTTAGAATAAGACTTATTGGGCAGCTGTGTCTTGACTTACTTTAGAATAAGACTTATTGGGCAGCTCGGTCTTGACTTACTTTAGAATAAGACTTATTGGGCAGCTGTGTCTTGACTTACTTTAGAATAAGACTTATTGGGCAGCTCGGTCTTGACTTACTTTAGAATAAGACTTATTTGGCAGCTGTGTCTTGTATTACTTTAGAATAAGACTTATTGGGCAGCTGTTTCTTGACTTACTTAAGGATAAGACTTATTGGGGCAGCTGGGTCTTGACTTACTTTAGAATAAGACTCATTGGGCAGCTGTGTCTTGACTTACTTTAGAATAAGACTTATTTGGCAGCTGTGTCTTGTATTACTTTAGAATAAGACTTATTGGGCAGCTGTGTCTTGACTTACTTTAGAATAAGACTTATTGGGGCAGCTGGGTCTTGACTTACTTTAGAATAAGGCTGTGTCTTGACTTACTTTAAAATAAGACTTATTTGGCAGCTGTGTCTTGTATTACTTTAGAATAAGACTTATTGGGCAGCTGTGTCTTGACTTACTTTAGAATAAGACTTATTTGGCAGCTGTGCCTTGACACTCTGTCGTATGACACCTCCATGATACACACTCGAGTGAAACCTAGGCAGAGCTATGGACAGACTTTGTTGTCTGTTTTCCTCTAGTAATGAGACTGTGTCCGAGACACTGCTGGATGTTGTGGATGTAGTGGATGCCATGACTATTGGATACCACCTGCCACCAAATAAATTGACATTTTCCTGTGGATTAAAAATAAAATAAAAAAATTTGAAACTTTTGTGACCCACCAGTCAATCACATCCCAAATATGTGACCCGTCAATCATTTCAAAAATATTTTTTTTATTACATTTAAATCTGATTATAAAAATATTTTATTTAGTACATTTAAAGCTAATAATCAAATACACAAACTCTAACATTATCATTATTTGTATTCAGTGCATTATGTCAGGAGTGGATGAAAAGTGATTTTAATATTATGATGTCTTCCATCTTTTGTGGCTAAGGTTTTTTCTTAAGGTTCTCCTTCCCCTGAGATCAGCTGCTTTGTGGGGCTGACCAGTTACTTAACCTGGTCTTGTGTCACACAGCTTCAGAATAAAAAGTATAGGGTTGGGTGGGTGTGAGGGGGGGCGGGGGTTGTGCAGCCTGTCCCTGAGAAAGCAATCAGCAGGCTTACCTTCTGGACAGCCCCTTCTACCAGATGGTGAATGAATAAACTTTTCGTGAAGGCAGTGTGACTGAGCTGCTCCACACAGGACACACAAAGCTGGGTCCTCCTCTTGGGCTTGTCAGGGTTCTCTGTTGTGACGGCAGGAACATGTCTTTTGGTCAATTCTTACAACTATTAACTGCAGACTGTCAATCTTATTTTTGAGTTCAAAATTTTGAGCAAGTGATATGTCTATGGGCATAACACCTTTTGTATTTATATGAATTTTAAAACATTTCCATCACTGAGTATAGAAGAGTATTGTCATTATTAAGGATTTGTTAAAGGTTTGCACATACATTCCGAAATTCTTTTACAACACGTGTTTCAGGAAAGGGAAAACTAAGATCCACCAAAACTTGATAGATAAAAACAGGATCTACCAAAACTTGATAGATTAAAACAGGATCCACCAAAAATTGATAGATTAAAACAGGATCCAATAAAACTTGATAGATTAAAACAGGATCCACCAAAACGTGATAGATTAAAACAGGATCCAATAAAACTTGATAGATTAAAACAGGATCCACCAAAACTTGATAATTAAAACAGGATCTATCAAAACTTGATAGATTAAAACGGAATGCCAGACTAAGCCGTTTACTAAACCTAAGAATTACATGACAAATGGAAATCGGAGAATTGGGGCTCAGAGGGGATCAAACAAAAGCCGGTGGCAAGTGCAACAAAACGCTTTGTTGCGGTAGGCGTTTGTTTACATCACGAACCCCATGCATGAACTCTGGGTGGGGGACCCCAAATTCGGCGACGATGGGTCTGGTTCAATTACAAGTTTTCTCCCTTGACTACAAGTAAACACATTCTTTAGTCTTTAGAATTAGAATTCTTTAGAACTTACAAGACGGCACAGCTAAAATACGAAACCCCCTTTCTGGAAAAGTCTCTAAGAAAGAATATAGATAAGCCAATCAACATAGGGAAAGATAGAGCTAGATAGAGACTGAGAGAGACAGAACATGGTGTTGTACTGATCATAGATTTTTATAATAATATTTACTCTGTGTGTGTATGCACCTTTTTCAACATTATACCCGTACAATTTCATTGCTGTACTGTAAGTGAATAGCCTATTTGATTTTGGAATTTAAAATTAGCTTAAAAAATTATTATTTGTAATTAGCCCTAGTTTGTGTATCATTCTTCCCTACTGTATTTAATTAACAGTATCATTCTTTGTTATGGACTGTTTTACACGAGCCGTAGAGTAAAATAAGAGATTAAATTCTCAAAATCATAGCTTATAAACCTTGTTATGGACTGTTTGACACGAGCCATAGAGTAAAATAAGAGATTAAATTCTCAAAATCATAGCTTATAAACCTTGTTATGGACTGTTTGACACGAGCCATAGAGTAAAATAAGAGATTAAATTCTCAAAATCATAGCTTATAAACCTTGTTATGGACTTTTTGACACGAGCCATAGAGTAAAATAAGAGATTAAATTCTCAAAATCATAGCTCATAAACCAACAGCACATAATTCACGTAAATGTTGCCCTACCAGCTTCGTCTACTTTCATGTGAAGAGATGAGAAGAAGGTCATGGCGATGACGCCACACAGTCTGGTCAGCAGTGACGTGCTCAGGTCTGCCGGGAACCCAATCATGTTCATGAGGCGCAGGGCACACATGCTGACGTTCAGATCCTGGGAGGCCAGGAAGTCACACATGACAGAATGTCGCTGCCGCAAACCCTCAATAATGGCACTGAAATAAAAACATCATGATGAACTGATACAGGAAGAGATATGAAACATTAGAGAGCAATTTATATTTTTAAAAGGAGAAAATTATTATTTTTCACGAAATAGTCCTTTGTTTTTAAAAGAGGGGAGGTGCGGGGGAAGATTTACTTTAAAAAAATATAGAAATCCTAGGTCTTTTTATCTGAAGATTTCAGCTAGTTTTATCTGTAGATTTCAGCTAGTTTTATCTGTAGACTTCAGCTAATTTTTATTGGTGAATATTAACTGGAACAGGGAAATTAAAGATCTGGATCAAAGTAAAGCACCAAGGGATTCAAGTGTGATGAAGAACAATTTTGTTTTATAGCCTCATTGATACCCCGTGGAGTTGAGGAGCGGAGAGACTGTTCTTGTGGGGTGTTGGGATTCTGAAAATACCGTGTAAGAACCTTTCATGTGGGTATATTTTGTGGTTTGTATGCCTCAAACTGTTGTGGTGTTACTCATTTCATGTGAGAAAATATACCATAAAATCTATCATAACATGTAGAATGCCATAACAAGAACCATAACATGAACCATACCCAGAGAACAAGTTAAACACAACTAGGGCTTTTTACTTTTTCCGAAATGGGACAAGATACTGATTCACTACCTTTTTCTGACATGTGAGGTAACATACACTCAAGTACTAACTGTTTCTGACATAAGAGGTAACATACACTCAAGTACTAACTGTTTCTGACATAAGAGGTAACATACACTCAAGACAACCTGTTTCTGACATAAGAGGTAACATACACTCAAGACTACCTGTTTCTGACATAAGAGGTAACATACACTCAAGTACTAATTGTTTCTGACATAAGAGGTAACATACACTCAAGACTACCTGTTTCTGACATAAGAGGTAACATACACTCAAGACTACCTGTTTCTGACATAAGAGGTAACATACACTCATGTACTAACTGTTTGTGACATGCGAGGCAACATACACTCAAGCACTACCTGTTGGACAGGGCCCTCTTGTTGATCTTCACTTTCTCAACATTAACAATTCTCTCAAGATTTCTCAACGCCAGCAGCATGTGTGTCAACGAGGCAGGTGCAGAAATTGTTGCTGGAGCTTCGGATGACTGGGTGGCGCCTGCCGGTGACAGAACTAAGGATGATGCCGACGACTCCAGCTTATTAAAAATGAGGACCAAAGTTGTTTGTGTCACTGTCGGAAAGACCAGCTCCATGCCCTGCTTTAACCTGTAGAAGTTGCCCAGCTGGGCATCAGGAGAAAAAAAAACGGGTTAAATATAAGAGACCTAGACCAATAATTCTGTTGACATATCTCTAAATATTAATGTTAACAACAGCACACACTTTTAAAGTGCTGAAAGAAGTTGACATGGGCTTGGAACTATACGGAGCTTCTAATACTGAACTGTTGTTAAATTTTGTCAACTGTAATAGAATTAGACAGTTGTACAAACTATACGTTGTACCAAAGCTAGTGATATTAACAAAAGACAATTTAGTTATTCTTTTAAGATGATATAAAAATACAAAATCAAATATACAGAAATAAAAGCTATATTAATTTACAACACAGTAAGCAAAAAAACTATAATACTAGATAGGAACAGATATTAATACACAAACGCAGTGAAAAATCTTGAAAGTCTTATAGGGCTCATGTAACTCCGGCAAGTCTCATAAGTCAGCCGGTCAAAGTCAACAATCGTATTTATATTCTGTCAAAAAAAAAGATAGGAGTTGGCATGAGTTTTCTAGACCAGAAGAGAAAGCCTCACCTACCTGTTGAGAAGTTTGTGAGTTGAAGACTACAGTGGACAAGATGGACGCTGCACAGTTCTCCCCCGCCTGCAGGGCTGTGTAGGTCAACAGTCTCTGTAACCACGGAACTCTTCAAGTGGACAGAATTGAAAGTAAAATTGAGAGTAGAAAATTTCTGATAATGAAATCAATTATCTTCCAAAAATAAAGAAAAGTTTTTAAAAAAAATACAATTTTAATTCAACTGCATAGAATTTAATATTACCAGTTTTTAAATTATTTAGAACATTCATTAATATCTGGTGCATGTGAAGTTTTGCCTAATATTTGTAGCACAAGGGCCTATATTATTTGGTTTTTATTCAGGGTACCAAATCATTCTTTAAAATAAAGTCAGGGTGCGTGACCAGAACAGTTAGGAGACCATTGGCTTCAGACAAACCTTTCTCCTTTACTCTGTAACAGCAGGAGGGTCAGACAGTCCCTTTGTGTCGCTAATCCAGTCAGTAACGGCAGGTCTCCAACGGTTCCATTTCCTTTTCTTGACAAGACACCTCGCTGGAGTTCAAACAGCAAGATGTGCTACAAAAAAAAAAAGAAAAGATGAACACAAAATATATATATTTTTTTTTATATAAAAGAACTGCATACTCCAAATCAGCTTTTAAATTTAACAACTTTTAAATCTTCCTTACCGACAACTTAACTGGCATATGTGTCGGAACATCTCTTCTAAATAGTCTATCTAATCATTAGGAGAGAAAAACTTAGGTTCCCAATCTGTTTCCACTGTAACAGGACTTACCATAATCTCCACACAGGTATCTCTCACCTCCTCCAGTGGCATTTCACAGCCTTTTTTGTCTTCTGGGTAAGAAATTTTAAACATTGTTTTATGGCTACAATTTTTTTTTGTTGTAAATTTAAAAAAAACATAAATATGTCTAGATCTAGGTAGAATTTTCATTTATTGTATAGATTTTTAAAAAAAAATGTTATTTGATAATAGTGTAGAAATGGTGCATCAATTTTACAAAAGGACTACCTTAAGGAAGGAAGGGGATGTTGGAGATCTCTCAAGCAATTTTACACTATTTCAAGGGGATCAGCTCAGAAACTTTTCTCATTCATCAACTCTACATTATACAACCTTTCTTGGCTATACATGGCTTGATTTGAAGATAACTAACAAAATGTTTAGAAATACCTTCAGGAACTGCTGTCTTCAAGATAAAGTTGACAATGTCACATGAGCTTATTTTACATTTGGCAATCAGATGCACCACCAGGTTCAGGAAACTAGAAGAAGAATATTTATTTTGTGAATTTTTTTATTGAAGCATTTAAGATTTCTGCTTTAGCAAAGGGATAAACATGGGTGCTTCTTTCTGGCAAAGAATAAAAATTATAAATATAAAGTGTAAAGTGATCCCTCGTCTATCGTGGGTTACATTTTTGTTGTCTCGCGACTTTTATATCTAATTTCGTATATCGCAGATTTTGCGCTATATCACAGGATTTTGCAGTATATAGTACCCATATAGAATTTTATGTGCTGTTAAAATTACATAAGTTTAAGAGTAAAGAAAGTGTTTAAGAGCACAGGAAGTGTTTATAAGAGTGTTAGAAAGGTTACTTACAGTGTGGGAAAGGTTTGTTATGTAAGAGAGGGGAGGTTTCACAAGGCCTTAAAATATTTATCAACAATATTTTATAAGGTCGCTACCTCACAAATTTTCACCTAATGCAGGGAGGAAAGGGGGGGGGTTGCGTTCTGAAACCTAAACCTGTGATAGACGAAGGATCACTGTACTATCATTTCCGAAAGGGAAGTGATTTAAAGCTTTTATAAGAGATATGGTCATTATAGCCCTTTAAAAACCCACACATGAGTGTGTAAATATATTTGAAGAGAAAAACCTATTTAAATGGATTGAGTCATGTTCACTTTAGGTTAAGTGTAAATACTTTGAAATCTATAGAGGGTAGCGTTAGGAGACCTATTTAAATGGATTGAGTCATGTTCCCTTTAGGTTAAGTGTATATACATTAAATCTATAGAGGGTAGCGTTAGGAGACCTATTTAACTTAGAAACTAAGGTGTGTGTGTATCTATATCTTGCAGCACATTCACTCAAGTAAATTACATATCAACTGAATAAGGTCACAACCATACCTGTTATATTCAGATGGAGATGCCCTCTTCCAGTGAGTGAACTGGCGATGCAACTTATTGACCACAGCAGGTGTTACTAAAAGGGAGACCAAAAAAAACAGTAAACCAGTTAATTGAGGAATCACATTGTCCATCACACAACAGACGCTGAATACCTTGCAAGAATCTTTTTTTACTTTTTAGTTAAAGAATTAGAGTGGACTGTGTTGTTTTTTTTCTCCATTTGTTTATCATAATGGTAAGTAAAAAAATCTATTTGTTTATCATAATGGTAAGTAACAAAAATCTATTTGTTTATCATAATGGTAAGTAAAAAAATCTATTTGTTTATCATAATGGTAAGTAACAAAAATCTATTTGTTTATCATAATGGTAAGTAACAAAAATCTATTTGTTTATCATAATGGTAAGTAACAAAAATCTATTTGTTTATCATAATGGTAAGTAACAAAAATCTATTTGTTTATCATAATGGTAAGTAACAAAAATATATTTGTTTATCATAATGGTAAGTAACAAAAATCTATTTGTTTATCATAATGGTAAGTAACAAAAATCTATTTGTTTATCATAATGGTAAGTAACAAAAATCTATTTGTTTATCATAATGGTAAGTAACAAAAATATATTTGTTTATCATAATGGTAAGTAACAAAAATCTATTTGTTTATCATAATGGTAAGTAACAAAAATCTATTTGTTTATCATAATGGTAAGTAACAAAAATCTATTTGTTTATCATAATGGTAAGTAACAAAAATATATTTGTTTATCATAATGGTAAGTAACAAAAATCTATTTGTTTATCATAATGGTAAGTAACAAAAATCTATTTGTTTATCATAATGGTAAGTAACAAAAATCTATTTGTTTATCATAATGGTAAGTAACAAAAATCTATTTGTTTATCATAATGGTAAGTAACAAAAATCTATTTGTTTATCATAATGGTAAGTAACAAAAATCTATTTGTTTATCATAATGGTAAGTAACAAAAATCTATTTGTTTATCATAATGGTAAGTAACAAAAATCTATTTGTTTATCATAATGGTAAGTAACAAAAATCTATTTGTTTATCATAATGGTAAGTAACAAAAATCTATTTGTTTATCATAATGGTAAGTAACAAAAATCTATTTGTTTATCATAATGGTAAGTAACAAAAATCTATTTGTTTATCATAATGGTAAGTAACAAAAATCTATTTGTTTATCATAATGGTAAGTAACAAAAATCTATTTGTTTATCATAATGGTAAGTAAAAGAACTTTGGGAATACTCTTTGTGACACGTATATGGACACACTATTATATTGACACTTTGTACGGATTGTAATCATTGAGAATAAATAAAAATGAATGGAAATAACATCACTTAAAAGATGAATACAACAACTGGTTGATGGAGCAAGACACGCTGATGAATGAAATAAGTTCACCAATGGACGAGACAAGAAGAGTTAATATGTGGAATCACTAGGGTTAATCTTAACCATTGCAGTCAAGCATGGAGTTATTCATCCCCCCCCCCCCATAATATCCCCATACTGCACCAAACTGTATATTAATATCATTTTTTTTTAATGTTGCAACCCATGACACCACAGTGGCCATTCAATTAATGGCAATTTTCTCACATATAGACACTAGATCGGTGGTCAGTATATGTAGCAGCGTGTCTGACATCGAGGCCAACTGAAGCAAGAAGGGAAGCGTCGTCACCTTGGTGGACTGCGTGTCAGAGTGGATACTTGCCTGGAAAAAATTACAATTGGTAATATTCCACTGCCAATCACAATTGTGAATTTCAACATTAAAAAAACATAAACATCGCAGCATTTAATTCTAGTCCTGTATTCATTTGTGTCCGTTAACATTACTGCATTATTAATTTGTGCGTGGAAAGCAAACAATGACAAACAATAACAAACAATGACAAACAATAAAACACACTTCAAATAATGCCATGAGAGCTTTCCGAATGTCTTGACTGTGTTTGGCGGCTAAATGACCCAGAATCCCCACAACCGAGGCCATCTTGGGAACCTTGTTGCGACTGGTGCCGATGTCTTTTTCCGTGCCGTCCACCCCACTATTGCAGAAATCTTTGAGTCCGCAGTTCAACACACGTGTGATGATTGTTCTTGGAAAACAGGATCTAAACGAAACAGATGGATTTATTTTTTTGATTTAAAATTGATAATTTGAGACTGGTGAAATGTTAAAACATGAACTTGATTAAAAGTTCAATTATCAGTGTAAATTATTGTAGCACTTGAAAACCGGCAGTGACATTTTAATGTTAATTATACAATATTCATCTTAAAAACTACATGTTTCTTATAAATCTCACCCAATGTGTGCAACAACCCAGTCAAAATAAGGTGAATATCGAACTGAGGCTTCCAACAGAGCATCAACACACATGTCTGGTGCACTACCAACCCTGAAATAATTTCAAAAGCTGTCATCCCATCCATGGTGTCTTCCTTGTGACATAAATTAAGAATTAGCACTTCTCACATAATATCCACTTGCACTTCTTGGAAAAACTAGTGATTTAACTTAAAAGGGAAAAAAAAAAAGAACGGAATAGAAAAAGAAAGGAACCCCCCAAAAAATAACTAAACCCAAAAATAGAATTGAACCAAAAGAAGAACTGAATATAAAAAAATTAACTGAACCCAAAAATAGAACTGAACCCAATAATACTGTTTTTTAAATTAAAAAAAATTGATGAATGAAAAAAAAAAGAACATAAAAAAAAAGAACTGAATCCAAAAAAAAAAAAAAAAAACAAAAAAAAAAAAAACAAAAAAAAAAAACAAAAAAAAAGAACATAAAAAAAGAACTTACATGGCAGCGAAACATTCTGTTGTGATTTCAATAAGCATTTTAGCAGGCGGACACGCCATCCACATCTGAAGGACTTCATTGAGTGAAGTCACATGCTGAACTCCTCGCTTAGCTGCATACTTGCTGCTCATCTGACCAAGCAGGGATAGGGCCCACTAAAACAGTAAGTATTCAAAAAGAATCATTGCACGTTTCCTACATATATTATAGAAACAATAAAAATCAACTGGTAATGTAATTAAACTTAAGATACTAATTTTTTAATTCTTTTTAAAGTTTAAAGGAATGACTTTGAAAATAAAAGTCACACTGATGTGAAATAAAACTGACAAGCAATATTTGTACTTTAAAAAGAATAACAAACAGAATGGTCTCAACGGTATCAATCTGACTCAGTCAAGTGTCTGATGTCATTGGTTTATAATCACCAAGTACGCACTGAAGAAACAACTGGGGCCCATGCTTCTGCATTGGATTTGATAAAACTGAGAAGTACACCAGTGACGTCCTGCAAGGCAGACAGCTGACTTCTCTGTAAGGCCTCAGGATCTAAAGGCATTAAGAAATAAATAACATACGCTTAATTCAATCTTTAGTAGATTTGTTGGTCAGTGCAGTTAAAAGTATTTAGATGTTTCATAATTTAAGTACATTGGGATATATGGGATGCACCTACTTTTATCTATTGTGAGCTAAATCCTCTAATTAAAATTAATTATTTTCTTCTTAAATAGCGTGTTAAAAGGGATATATAAATTCTTTTGTTTCACAAACTTTAACAATTAACAAAAGAGATCTTAAGTAAAAAAAAAAAATTAATTTAAAAAAAAAAAGAAAACAGAAGAATGTCATTTTTTTTTCTAACATTTTGATAGTGAATAATATTGAAATTTAAATTACAGAATACATTTCTCCTTCCAAATTTTAAATTTAATTATTTTCTTCTTAAATAGCGTGTTAAAAGGGATATATAAATTCTTTTGTTTAAAAAAATTTAAAAATTAAAAAAAGAGATTTTAAGAAAAAAAAAAAAATTAATTTAAAAAAAAAAAGAAAACAGAAGAATGTCATTTTTTTTTCTAACATTTTGATAGTGAATAATATTGAAATTTAAATTACAGAATACATTTCTCCTTCCAAATCACAGACCTTGGCTGCCCCATTGACCACGTTCAGCACAGCTCAAGTGAGTGTTGATTGCATCATCAAATGAGACAGCGTAATGCTCCAAAACAGCATGTCGCGCAACAGGTACAGTGCGTAGTAAAAACAATGCAGAATTAGCGAGAGAGTCGTAGCTAAAAGGAGCTCCACTACTCGTGCCTTGAAGGAACTGATTTAGCTGTCTCCGCAATTCCTAATCAAGGAAAAGTTATTTTGCAAAAATATTTTTAAATTATATTTTAGAAATTAATATAATCAACTTGAAACAAAGATTTTGAATAGAATTTTTTAAATGGCCTCTTTATTTTGAAACACAAATTGAACCTTAACGGTGAAGTTAACACAAACCTTAGATTTTGTTAGGCTGACTGAAAGCATTAATGAAGACCTTAGAATTAAAAGAACTTAAGTCACAAAATACCCATTTTGAGACAATCAAATTAAAATATTCTTTCTGTCTAATAAATGTAATAATTTTCAATTATTTGCTTAGTTAAATAAGGGACTTAAGTACATTTTTCAACTATTGGCTTAGTTAAATAAGGGATTTAAGTACATTTTAATGTGTTCAAATTTAAGCAGTATACATGGCTATACCAGAATTGGGTCACAGAATTTGTAGGTGCTGTCCATGTTAAAAAAAACAACAACTCATATATATGAAAATTAAAGCCCAAAATCTATTACGTCTAAGTCATCTTTAGAAAGTTGATTTTAGTTTCATTTTTTTAAATTTAAAGTTTGGTATTCAAATAATATTATACTACTTGGATAACTTTTTATTAAATTATTAACACTATCAACATATTTGATTACTTATGTTTTAGAATGATAATAATGATTACGACAATATTAATTAATAGTATAGTCATTAAAAGTTGACAATACGGAATACGATTTAAGTTTTATTAAGTTTAGCATACTTCACAAAATGTTAAAATTAATTACTGATTTCATTGATCGGTACTTCGATATATATATTACAGATGCATAGAGCAAACTTCATATATAAAAAATGAAACCAGAATCAACATTACTATAACTATAGATACTTCGATGAAACAAGGGAGACTACTACTTTTTGGGTATCGGAAATAGAAATCGGCGCCGAAAAATCAGAGTTTTTAATTTTCCGATGTGTGTGTCTATTTATTATTTAATTAGTACTTTCGATATATATTTGAGTTCCGTTTTCAGCCTTATAATTAGGTAGACATCTTGGCCTACATTTTAATCAATTTCTTTTTCATTTACAATCAGTCAGCTTTCAGAAAATCCTTGGTAAATATAAGGCAACTTTCATCATTAAAATTAAGTCAAAGTAAAAGATTTGTCACTACCAAATTTTTTTGGCATCTGGGGAATGTATTGATCTACATGTATGCCAATTTTCACAGCGATATGTGTCTTACGATAGACGCCATGTTTCTAAGCGTTCGCAGCAGGTCATGCAGTTCGCTCAACCTAATTTCGCCATGGGGTGGGCCACACCAGCTTTTTAATGGGGGAAGCTGCCGATACTTAGGGAATATTAATTCATTACCACTATTTACATCAAAATATTTGATAACTTGTGTTTCAGAATGCATTTTGAAGACATTCAAACAGGAATGTTTTAATTTGAGCTTTAACAACCCGGTAGAGTCCATATTATAAATGATCAGAATTTACGGTGTGCAACACGTTGTCATTGGCAACCATTCACAGCCACTTGCATATTGGCTGTATCGTAGTACTACCTCAGAGTTTCATTCATAAGAGTTTGCCGTGTGCAAAAACTACTATACCATTGGTCAGGGAAAGCTTTAACTTTAATTAATTATTCATGTGCCAAAGTTGAAAGTTTAAATTAAGTCGACCCTGCCCTAAACAGTATTTTAGTGATAAGTTAAGGCGATGCGTTGCCTTATATAAAGTATATAGTCATTGCGCATGACGCGATCTGTGGAATGAGGTCACAAGATGTGGAAGTTTCGTCCATAGTAAAAAATATCAAACGAACTCACACTTTAACTTTAACAATTCATAGCTCAAAAAGTACTTAAGCTAAAAAGTTGATTCTGGTTTCATTTTTTTAATTTGAAATTTGCTCTAACTAACTGTGTTATTAAAAAATTATTTCAATTTTTTAAAATTTTGTATTCAAGTACCTAGTAAATTATTATTACTAATTACTATTAAGACTATTACTAATTACTACATTCTAATTCTCTTTTGAGTACAATAAATGAAAGAATTTAAACATTTCTAGCCTACATGTGGCACTACATATTATTAAATTAGGCGGTAGCGTAACTTTATTAAATATCAGACGTAGGGCCTTTTTTTGAGTGTGATAATTAATTAGCTCTATTTACCCCAGGCCCAGCAAAGACTTCATTACTGACGGTCGCCATCTTTATAATTAATAGTAATGTCCCCTTGCTTAAAAAGTTATTCAATAGTTTCTCTAAACGTATTCGATTTTTTTCAATTAAATACTTAAAACAAAAAGCGAATTCAGAATTCAGATATTCAGATTGGTATTTGATATGACCAAATCATACAATACACATTCAATTAAAAAATTACATATTTTCACCTCATTTTTTTCCTAATTGAATTGTGATATTACTTATTTATAAAATAATAAAGTAGTAAAACCATTCTTAACATAATTAGTTGTTTACTAGACTTTTTCGATAATCTTAATAGTAATCAGGTTAATTGTATTTTTCGCTCGAATAATTTTAAAAGAAAACTCAATTTAAAAACCTATACAATATATTGTATTATTTTTATTTATGGTTCAGTGTGATATTTGTAATAATGTAAAAACAGTGTGCTGATGGCCACTCTGGAAATAGAAAAGAGAGAATGTAGGCTTAAAAATAAAAATCAACAGTAAAAATCTTTTTATTTTTAATAAACTAATTGATGATTTAATATGATATACTCCCAACGACAGACAAGTAACTTTTTGATTTTGAGCACTGAATCAATATTTTGTGTGTGCACATTTCTTTTCATTAGCCAGACTAAAACTTAAAACTTATTTTCCAGATGATTGCTCTAAATATATTAAATGTTATTAGTTTGACTTTATAATTATGATAATGTTATCGAGAGTCCTTATAATGTTAATTTTTCGCTCGTCTAAACTTGTATTTTTTTTTAAAATTCATAATAATCATTGAATGATTCATTGAAAAAATACATTACCCATATTCGATTACTGATAGAAACAACTATTTGCTTCTTTAATAAAAAAGATTCAGATGTTGTCATGACTCTCTTTAAGTTTAACAATGGCGGATATAGTGATCTAGTTAAATATCCAACTAGTGAAAAATGTGGTTTAGGATTTATTAGGACAATATGTGAAACATCAAGTTAGTCAGTTTTGCCTAGTAATTACAGTAAGTAATTTATTAACAATTATCATGAAAGATAAATTGTATTTTGATGTATTAGGTTATGATATATAAAATAACTTAATTTATTAATTATATTTACTACTTCACTTTCACGTTTTGTTTAACTTATGGCTTGTTTAAAAAATGATTTGAATAATGGTTAAAAATAATATCTATATGATATCATTGACTTTTCATATTTATTACTTATAAAATCAAAATACAACACATAAGCCATAACATTAGGCAAACATATTTTTTGAATGTCATCTTTTCTGTTTTATTTTTAAATTCTGACATTCATTAATAGCTTCATTAAATTTTATGTAAATAATTTAATTTTGAACTTTACAACAGGCTTACTAAGTTTTTTATCACAAAAAAGACACACAAAAAAACAACTTTTCTTATCTTTGAGTTGCTCACTGCCTTTGTCAAATTAAATACTTGAGCTTCAATAAAACTATTTTAATGATCAAGGATTACTCTCAAATAGTTGAATAGACTAGAGGTAGGAATAATGGTGAGCAGTCTGTGCCATGGTTGATTCAGAGTGACCAGTGTTGCTGTTGCTGATTTAGAACAATGTAGTGTGTCAACTTAGTCACCTGTAACTGAAACACAACTTTGATCCTGCAAGTGGTTTATTTGCTTCAAATTCTCTCAGGCAGAATAATAAAGGCTAATTTGAAGTGGCTGAGATTGAAGTGTTTATCTTACATAACTACACTGTGACGTGTTTGAAACTATAATACGTGGGGTGGAATGGGTGCAGCTTTGCCAAATTGCGATAAACACTAAATAATAATTGTTTCGTCAAATATTGTCTTCAAACTATGTTTTGAATTGGCTTTGGCAATTCTACAAAAAATGTTTGAAGAAAATAAAATGTCAAAAGTATGTAGCCTGTTCACGTAGAAGATGCTTTGGTTTAGAACAGTTGATGGACTACGTTTAGAATTTAGTTATATGTTGCACTTAAAGTTGATTTATGCGAGACTCAACTTTAAGACACTGCTAGGATAGCGCCAAAAAGATTGATGCGATGCCACATGCACTACCAGACAACATACATCAGAAAAGTAATGTTAATAGGAATTTGTCGATTTCAGGGATGTGGAAATTGTATTCCCCCCACCCTCACCAACCTAATAAGTTCATGCCCTAAAAGTGTTTTCCCAACACCTGTGGCCCATACCAGGGTGAACGTCCCGAAAACTTACTCCCATGCGTCATGCTAGAAGGGATGGGAACCAGTGGCGTAGTAAGGTGGTGTGGGTTGGGGCGATCCACCCCGGGCGGACCTTTTTTATTCTTTATATTGAGGGGCAGGATTCTCGGCCAGCTCAAGATTTTTTTCGTATATAAGTGACAGCAAAAAGACTGGACCGCCCCTGGTGGCTATAACCCTAGACTCGCCACTGGTGAGAACGTTGGGCAACTAGAGCACTAGATGTTTGTTGAGTGCGTGTTGTGCTTGTAGCAAAGACTGCCAATGTGCGGTCACCACACTTCATGGTGGAGCAGCTGGGAAGGGTTTGTTAAGGTGGGGCAACAATGAGACCAGCGCTTCTTCCTAGTGTTATTGGAAGAAAAAAAAAAACATGTAGGCCTATCAGTTAGGTGGGGTTACCTAGTGACCATGACCAAAGCAAGGAGAATTGAAGATGACGGGAAGACACTATGAATATTTGAAATACGCTTTCCCTAATTTCTGTGTTACAGCTAAAAAAAAAAAAAAAAAAAAAAAAAAAAAATAAAAAAAAAAAAAAGTAGGGCCGTTAAGTAGGGGGGGTTTCCTAGGGAACAAAAACAAAAAAAAGAGAAAATAAAAAAAAAGGAAGAAACAATTAAAATTTTAAAAAACCTTTTCCTAATTTTTTTTTTTAAAGCAAAAAAAAAAAAAAAAAAAAAAAAAAAAAATTATACATTAAATTATAAATTGATGGGGAAAAAATGATTATTTAAAAAAAAATATATTAATCAAAGACGGGTTAAAACTCTCTAAAAAGTAGGTTTCGTGTTATCATTGATAACACAATCAGATGAATGTTGACCCCAAAGCTATACCTAAAGATGATTGTATGGAGATTTTAATGCGTCTTTATTCATGTTTTATTCCACGTAATAAATTACATTACACCTTTGTATTAGAGCATTCCTTGTTTTTATTTTGGCCAGTAATGTTTCTAAGATTGAACTGTGCTGGCACTATTCTTAATGATCCCCCCTTCCCGTAACTACGTGCCTGTTTAAAGTCCCCAAACACCCAAGGGTGTGTAACAGTGCACCGACTAGTGCTTGACACAACAGCCAATGAGTAGCACTTCTGTCTGTTAGCCGCCGCTGTGGGGGCTTGGTGCTGGGCCAGGCGTCTATTCAGCAGATCCTTCTCTTTTGGTTCTATCTTTTTTTTTTTTCACTCCTCTGTTTCTTTGTACCTCGTTTCTCTCTCCTTTGTATTATTGTATCCTCCTACTTTGTTTCTCTGTTTCTTTTTACCTCGTTTCTCTCTCCTTTGTATTATTGTATCCTCCTACTTTGTTTCTCTGTTTCTTTGTACCTCGTTTCTCTCTCCTTTGTATTACTGTATCCTCCTACTTTGTTTCTCTGTTTCTTT